AAATAAGTAAATCATTATAGATTTATTAAATATAAAAACAATGTTTATTTCATAATTTTAGTTTTTATAAATTTATTTTTAGAATATTAATTCAAAAATACTGTTATATGTTTCTATTTACTTATCTATAAATTAATAAATAATATCAACTGTAATGCTAGAAGACAAATTAAGATTGGAATATCATGAATTTTTCTAATAAAGGGTATTATACATAGTACATACAAAAAGTGTTCAGAGTTACTTAATGGTTAATTTGCATTCTGTTCATAAAGGATATAAGACTGTGTTTTTTTATAAGAATTTATAATAAAATAATTATTGTTCTTAAATATGCTAAGTATTTACTGTAAATAACATCAATAATCATTTTAATGGTTATATTTTAAATTTAATCTTAATTGCTGACATCAGCTTTTTATAAAAACTAAACATGACAAATATATATGCAAAATAAGGATGAGATGATTATGGAGTTAGCCAATTAACAATGAGTGATTAATAAGATGGAAGAAAAGAACTGGCCTGGGTCAAGGCAATTCTTTCAGATGATTCTAAATTATTTAATAAATTATTTAAATTCTAATTATTGACTTAGATAAAAGATGACAGATGGCACCTAACATCTATCTCTAACTAATAGCAAATTACAGTGGACGATTGGTTAATGAACATAATCTGTTCCAAGACTTTGTTTGTTATCCAAATTTTTGTTAACTGATTATCAATTTACCATAGATTTTTATGGGAATTTGATTAATTTGTTCTGGAGACTCCAAAATATAAAAAATATATACTTTACTACATTTATTTATATGTAATAGTAAAAATACATATATATGCAGTCTTGCATTTTTATTAGTCACGTTTTTTTCGTTTGTGGGGTTAAAGAATTTGTCCAATGTTGATTGCTTTTCTCTTTTCTTCAGGATTTTTTGGAAGTAATTAATAGTATTGTAATTTTAAAGATCCCCAACCCCATTAACCATTTTCTGGTTTGGATGCCACTTGGATGATCATTGTTCTGATATCCTTCCACTTCTTCAAAAGATAGCATCTTTAGTAGCAGATGTCGACACTGGTTCTCTTTTGTCTTTCTCTTTTTCATTTGAGAGTTCTTGGAGTTCTTCTGTTGTCAGATCAGTTTCAGGTTCTATTATGAGCTCTTCAATGCTCCTTATTTCTCAGATGTGATTTTCATTACTCTATTAGCAGCTTGACTTCTTGATACATCTTTCATAGCTAAGATTGTTCCTACTGTAAACCTTACTGCCTAGCAACATCAGACATCTTGTGTCCACTTTCTACCTTAGCTATTATCTCTTACTTGGTTTCTATGGTAAGCACAGTTCTTGACACTCAATTTGAAATTATTTAAATGAAAGGCCCGGATGAAATTCGAAATTTGGTATTAAAACATTAACGAATATCCGATGAGATGGTTAGCCTTTCACCTTTTGTAAATAAACCTGATGCAAAACTTAACAAGTGCCTGTCCAACAGTCTCGCGAAGATGATAAAAAATTTTGTCAGAAAGGTAAACAAAAAGCTGGAATTACAAGGGAGAGTTTCAAAGTTTGGAGGAATACTATCTTATCAGTATCAGGTTGAGTGTCGATGTTGATGTCTCCTGCACTCAGAAAATGTTTCTAATTGTTACCTGATGACAAGGGAAAATCAATCAGTATTTGTTATTTTCTGTCACTTTTGTTTGTTCAGTAAAGTGTTCATTATCCAAACATGTGTTCATTGTCCAATTATAAAAATCTTTTGCAAAAGTGTTCGTTATCTGATTTGTTCGCTATCCGAACTGTTCGTTAACCGATCACCCACTGTACTTAGTATTAATTATTAATTAATTAATTAAAAATAGCAGATTTATAGCCCAAGTATTTAAGGCAACCATTTGACTATGTCTCTATATATATATTGGGCTCTTAGAGTTGTTTAGTATATGCACCTCACCAGGTAAAACATTAGCTAGCTGAGTGCCATTGTGGAGATATGGGTATAGGAATCATCCCCAGCTGGCACCATGATTAACCACATAAGGTTATATCTAAATTTAAATAAATCTGGAAGCAAAGGTTTGCTCGGGGTCCAGGTGGCACAACTGGCAATCGCACTGCATGGCAAGTGGAGGTTGCAGAATTAATCAGAATTGGGATTTGTGGTATTGCCATTTTTCTGTATACTTGCATGCATCTCTACTCTTGTACCTAAGCAGAATTTTGAGATTTTTATTTTTTTCCAAGTATATCATTTCTGTAACAGGGTGTGGCCTATATAAGCATAAATATGATAATAAGAATAAAAATTATTTATTTTTAAACAAACTAATGACTATGAGCTAAATTGAATAAAGAATAAACTTATAATAATCAATATATATAATAAAGGTAAGTGTACAATATGTGTGCCGCTAAAACTCAAAAACGAGTCCTGGTACGATCAAGGGAGTTATATGGTATGGTAGCCCTCTATCCCCCATCCATGAAGAAGGTTTCTGTTTTTACCTGAAGGGCATGCTGTTGAAGATATAAGGGCTGGAAGTTTTGCCCTCTAGAAATTTCTAGAACAGTCCAGAACATTTGAAAGTATTCGAGAGCATTCCACAACATTCCAGAATGTTCCAGGATGTTTGGGAACATCCCGGAACATCCCAGATAATTGTGGAACATTCCAGAACACTCTCGAATGTTGTTGAATGTTCTGGAACATTGTGAACCATTCGAAGCCTTTTTTGTTTGGGTGGGACTACCCATTGGTGGAGTATATAAAGCAAGATCCGTTGTGGGTTCGAACGTCAGTTTCTTATCAGTGACGAAGGAAATAACTGAAAAGGAAGTGAAAATTCCAAAGTAGTGCAGCGAGTGAATAAAAACAAACAGTGAAGTGTGAGTAGTCAAAGTGATACAGTGACTGAATATAAATTGAAAATAAAGTGTGAAAACTGTGTAAAGTGTACTTAGTGTATTTGTTAATAAAAAGTCGATTTTATACAATGCCCAAACTTAAAAGAGGAGGAGCTCTTGCCAGTTCTGAATTTTCTTTTGAATATTACTGGGAATTTTCTTTTGAATATTAAAGTTGATATCGTCGACAATATTATTTTCAGTTGCCAAAATTGCCCTTTGAAATAGTCACTCCGAATAATAATAAGAAGTGCAGAGCCCAAATGATTAGGAGTTGAAGGTTGAAATTTGGTACACAGTTAGAATGCATCATGAGAACATACCCTAAGAAGGGATTTTTCAATGTATCGATAGAGGGGATTTTTCGAAATTCCCCTCGTTGGAGAGAGGGACAGGATTAAGGCTTCCCATGAAGAACTCAGCTTCTATTATACTATTTTAGATGCGGTTTTTTGTGTTTTTGATTACGTTTTAATAGGATATGTCATGAGAATGTACACTAAGAAGGGATTTTTTGAAATTCTCCCTGCGGGGAGAGGTTGTTAACAATGGAAGTGGTTAAGTAACAATTGAAGTGTTAAGAGAAAGCGATGTGCAAGATTTACAGGCACATATGCGGTTTTTTGTGTTTTTGCGGTAAATCGAAAATATTTTTAGACCTATGTACAAATTCTCTAATTAGTCTGGAAACAGGGGACCTAATTCTTGCATTCTGTGAAAATGGGTAAGATTGACTATACATAATGTAATTTTAATCTTAATCTTAAATGTTTTCGAATAGTCGAGGACTGTTATGTTTGAGTAGTGGGGATGGCTTTTGGAGATGTGTGACACACATGTTTCAGTTGATTTTTCATAAGTAAAAGTGTACGAATTACAGAAAAAAGTAGAAAGTGAATAGTGAAGTGTGAAAAGTAAAAATAAAAAAAAAACAATGCTAAAGTGTAAGGAAGAATTTTTGCAGTCTTGAATCATATCTCAAAGGCAAAAGATGGCACGGAGAAATGAAACCACGGAAGAAAGAGAAGCATGTCTAACATTGCTATGAGAAAATATATCAACGAAACAGAAATAATCGGACAGAAGAGCAACTTGAAATTTATAAAGAAACACATTGAATCAGAGAGAGATTATGTAGAGGAAGAGAAACAGTCTTTTATCTATATATATATATAAAAATGGACATGTATGTCCATATATTTCACTTTTCCGCAAAAACTACACATCGCACGTGAATGGTGTTTGTATGTGGTGGTAGCCCCAAGTCTCCATTCGTGCATAGGGATGGTTGCGTCTCGATAGCTATAAGGGTGCGGGAGATATGAGGCTGAAAGTGGTTGAAAGTGGCTTTCTATTTTGAATGTTTTGTTCGAATTTGTTAGAATTAAATTCAAACATAAAATTCGAATATTGGTTCGATTATAGAACAATTGTAAACGTTCCAGAAACGTTGAAAATAGTTCGTTTGACTAAACGTAAAAATTCTCTAATTAGTCTGGAAACGGGGGACCTAATTCTTGCATTCTGTGAAAACGGGTAAGATTAGCTATAATGTAATTATCTTAATTTTCACTATCGTTACTTTTTGCCCAGTGAAGCGGGTCCTTGCAGCTAGTATATATATATATATATAAACTATATTACATATAAATGTACGAACAAATAAAAACCCAGGGAAGCGGATACTTGCAGCTAGTTAATAATAATAATAATAATAATAATGAGAAAAATTTTATTTTTGTGTTTTTTTTTCTATTTATGACAGTTTAAGTTTTTTTAGTTTAGTTTAAATATATATTTTTAATAATATAGATGATATTTGACTATTATGTTAAATTAAACTTTAAAAAATTTCTTTTATATAGTTATAATTTTATAAATTTATTTATTTTTATCTTATACTAATTGTAGTTAAGCATGAATTTATAATTTTTTTTAAAAACCAAAACTTATATGTTTATGGTTTTTTGAAAAATTTAAAGTATTTTCTTAAAAATGAAGATTATAGATTAAAAATAATTTATGTGATATTTTATCAAATTAAAATTGTGGTAATTTATTTTTTTAAATTTGAAATTTTTTTAGCCAAAATTATATAATTCTGTTATTGAAGATGTTATTAGTAATGTTCGAGAGGCTTTCTTAGATGATGGAGTTGATGAACAGATTATTTTGGAATTGAAACAGGTATGTACCAATATGTACTATAACTAATTAAATTAAATTAATTAATTTTTAATATTAAGTATTAAAAACTTATTTGTTTGATCAAAGCATTTTAATGATTGAAAGTTATTTCTAAGCTTAATTAAACTTTTTAATAAAATGAATTAAAATACTTCCAGAGATTATAAATTCTATCATTGAATGAATATTTAAAAAAATTTTGTTCTGATTCAAAGTCATTCCATTGTAATTGTTTGTTTTCAAAGTTAAAAGTAAATATATATTATTATTTTTTTATAAAAAATCTGTAAAAATATTTACAAACTTTGATTCAATTTTTTTTTATAACTTTTTATAAAAGTTAATATTGCTGACTCATGATCTTAAACAATCTGCTTTGATTATTAAACTATTTTAATTGAATTTATGAATAACTCTTACTGACTATATATTACTGTCTAAATATCACATTATTATTTTCTAAATGAATAATAATATGCATGTTGTGAAATTTGATATTTTACATGGACTAAATTAAAATACACAGGTTGTCTAAAAAGAAATCAAACTTTTGCTCTAGTGAGAAAAAAACTACAAGAAATATTTTTATAAATATTTTATTTATTCAAAATAAGATCCCTCTGCAGCAATAGAACATTCAGAATGATTAATGAGCATTTCAAAGGACTTTTTCAGCTCCTGTTTTGTACCTAGTTCAGTACTGCAGTCACAGCAATCTCATTCTCTGGAATGTCCTTGTAACGAGTCCCTTTTTGGGAACAGAGAATAGTCACAGGGAGCCAGATCAGGAGAATAGTGGACAGTCTAGGGTTACAATACCTTCTTAAGCCAAAAATTGATGAATGGTGATGATCTTGTGCAAGGGTGAGTTGTTGTGAAGTAGTTCCAGCTTCCTTGAGCATGATACTCCAGCTGTATGCATACAATTTGATTCCAAAGACATTCCAAAATACCCAAATAATAATCTCCAGTAACATTCTGACCATTTGGGACAATTTCTTTGTGTACAATTGATACCTTTGGAATCATAAAAAAATAGACGAGCATGGTCTTGAATCGTGATTTTTGAAAATGAAGTTTTTTCGGTGTGGGCTCATCTGATGACTTCTACATGAAACTTTGACGTTTCATCAATGGGCCATATTGGTAGTGCCATGTCTCATCATCTGTGACAATATTTTTAATAGTTTTGAGAAAATTTGGATTACAGCAAGTCATTTTGATGATGTCCTGATCATGATGAATGTATGCCTGTTTTTGTTCCTCAGTGAGTGATATGGAACAAAATGGAAACAGACCTTACATTTGTTGAAATGATTATGTTGGATTAAGTTTCCTCTACTGCACAAGAGCAATAATAGGAGGTCTGTTCGACCTATAAAAATTTCCATGATCTGAGTTCAAATCAGCATAAACCAGGTTGGTTTCTTTCTAGAGAAAATAAATTATACGAAAGGACCATTCAAAATTATGTGGACAGAGTCTTTTGACACTCTCAACTCCTCTGATGACATTCTACAGGTCACAATTAGATCCTTTCCTAATATTTGTCAAACTTTATCAATGTTACAGTCCATAGTCAATGTCTTTGAATGACTAATTTTCGGATCATTTTCAATTGACTCCTGGCCATCTTTGAATCAACTAAACCAGTCGTAAACTTGTATTAAGTATAGGCAATCATCCCAATATACTTGCTTCAGTAACTGAAATGTTTCGGTAAAAGTTTTCTTTAGTTTTCACAGAACTTAATGTTGGCACATTGCTCCATTGCAATTTTCTAAAGAGGGTTACAAAATAACTTACATTTCATGCCACACAAAAGATTGTTATGAACCAATTCAAATGCTATTGGACAAGATTGATAATATAACATTCAGAATTTTGAATTTGACTGTTAAAACTAGTTGTGCCATCTAGTTATATTTCTAGAGCAAATGTTCAGTTTTCTTTTAGACAACCTGTGTATTTCAAAAATTTAAAACATTTTAACTTTACTCCATAGTAATGAGTTTAATACCATAATTTTCTCTGGACAGTGTGTACCCAACAGAAAATTTCAAAAACTAAAAAAAAAAAACTTTTTATAACCTGCCTTATCATGTACTCCACATCATGTGTGGCTGTTGAAAGCAAGATAATTACCAGTATGCAGAATGAAACATGAAAGACAATATTTTAATGTTGTCTTTTATGTTTCATTTCTGTTAATTATTCAACCAAGCCCAAATGTTTATATACTTTTAATTTTATGAATTTTACTTTTATCAAATTAATTTTTTGTATTTTGAAAAATGTATTTATTTTTAAATATTAACAAATCAATCAATGTTAAATATGTTTTCTGTCATTGAAATTTTTCAAATTTTTATGCACTTTTCTTTCAGTTTGCAAACAAAGATACATGCATAATCTCACAAACATATCCATCTCAATCTAAATAATTAATGAATTTAAAATAGTTTGCTTATTAATATTTTTAGTTATTCTATTTTGACTAAATTAAATAACAGTATATTAAAATTATGAAGTATAGGATGTCTGACTTGAAATTAGCTCCACTCACTGGAAACAATACAAATGAATTTAGGCAAAGGACCCTTGTTTGAAACTTTAACATTATCTAAATATATAAAGTTACTTGTCCTGACTGACTGACTTTCTGAGTGATTTATTCATCATTGCCCAGAACAAACCACTGAACCTAAAGAGTGAAATTTGGTACACAGTTAGGGTACATTATGAAAATGCATGGATAAACTAAGAAGGGATTTTTCAAAATTCTCCCTGCAGGGGGAGAGGGAGAAGATTAAGGCTTAACCTGAAGAATGGCTTCTACTGTACTATTTTAGATGCAATTTTTTATTTTTAACTATGTTTAGTCTTCATTGAGTACTTAGGTGTATTAAATTGATAACATTTCAGACATTGTTATAAATATTTTTATATATTTTGATTTTTTAACCAAATGTTCGAACTGTTTTAAATTCAAATTTGTTATTGCATATTGGTTCGATTATAGAACATTTGTAAACGTTCCAGAAAATTGATCAAATTGAAAACAGTTTGTTTGATTCTCAGTGGTAGGTGTTATATAACAATTACTATGGTTGTTGAAATAATGAATATAAATGGGATTTGCTTGCAAAATCTGTGTGGGTGAAGTTGCGGGTAACAGCTAGTTTTAAGCATAAAGAAACTTACAGAAGATGCTAAAATTAGTTCCCTTGTGCATTTATATACTTTTGTACATAAATTTATACATACATTTGTGTACACATAAACCTGTTCAGACAAACCTTAAGTAAAACATTGATGTTAACAGCCTCAATGCTTCTGTGAATGCTTTTCTTCAGTTTGTGTATAGTTCTGGATTTGGTCTCTCACACTTTCCTTTTATATATTCTTTATAAAATTTACTTCACTAATGTTCCATCATCTATTGGCTGATTTTAAGTGGGACACCCTGTGTAAGAATTTATTTAGAGTATTCTTGATTCATTTTCATGATCAAAAACTGATTAAAAGCAATATTTTTTTGCTCATTTAAATCTTAAGTATTAGAAATTAGTAATGTATGAAAATTTATATAATTTCTTTGAAAAATACTTTTTACAAACAAAACTATAACATATATTTTTAATTGTAGATTTGGGAAAAGAAACTCAAAGAAACAAAAGCAATTGAAATAAAAGAACCAGAACAAACAAGTCATGTTCTCTTACCATTGCAACAGTCATCAGGAGGCCAAATAGTACCTCCAGGTAAACAATATATGCTAATTGTGAATGTGTAATTAGTATGATTTAGTTTATATTTTTATTTGTAATTTAAATACAAAAGGCAATATCATTCAGAGTATGAAAAGCTTTTTCTCTTAAATAACAAAAAAAAAAAACATCCACAAAAAGCAAAAAAAATCAAATTTAATATCATAACTTTAATGTTCTTCTGATGAAGAATTCTGTCAAGCACTTATGTTCAACTGATATTAAATTTAAGTAAATTTAGAAAGAATAGAAAAAGATCTGTTGATCAGTTTTATCAGATCTGTTAAAAGATCTGAAAAAGAACCGTTCCTGGGGTTTGAAAACGTTTGTTTCGGATAGTTATGAGTTAGTAAGGAAGGAGAACGCACCGGTAATAGCTTAGAAAGAGTTGTTGTACTATTCTCCGGTGTTGTGATAAAGATGTATAGATCTGTTGATATCAGGATCCAAACTTATGATTTTTTTTATAATAAAAGTATATTGTCAATTAAATTAACATTTGAACATGCTATGTTAAAATGAAAAGTATCTTCTTTCCAATTTGACATTCCATGGATTTGATTACTTTTGGCAGACCTCTTAATTTCACAATGTTCCATTCCTAATACTTTGTTAAAATTTTTCTTGTCATACTAATTTATAGTAATATATTTACTTAGATACTATGCAAATGTTTTAAAATCAAAAGTTCTAATTTTAAAATTGGAATATATGTAATCAATCTTATGCTTTCCATGGATTTCTCTCTCCTGTTTTGATTTGTGAAAAGCTAACAATCTCTCAGTTCTGTGGGAATGAGACTGAGATTCAGCTTAAATCATCAACAAAAGAAACTAAAAATTTATATTATCTGTAAACTATAAAAATAACTCACCTCAAAGTTAAATATGTATGAAATCAAGTAAACCTGTTAAAAAAATGAAATTTTAAAGATGATAATTATTTGAAAAGATAAAAAAAAGTATATTTTTATTAAAATATGAAATAGAATCTACTTATTGTAATCACATTTGATTTGCATGTACTGATAACAATAACCAAGTGATAAAATTAAGCAGGATAAATAAATAAGATTTAATTTATAATTATAATTATAGATTATAATTAGTGAATTTTGGTTTTTGACTCTGACATTAAAAATGTGTTAAAACAAAACATGTATAACTTGAAAATTTATTAATAGTAATTCATCCAGGTTGTTTTTATGCTGTTTTTGCAATACCATCTTTAGCAACAACTAACATATGCAGTCAACTTACATTAATACGAATTGCTAGAAAAACAGTAGTTTGTTTGTTTTGTTGAAAATTTATATTAACAGTTTTCAGGGTTAAGGTTGTATAATTTAGAGTTAAGGATTAATAGATGATCAAAATTTCTAAATTATATTTTGGATTAATTTACTAATAAAGTTAATAAATTTATTTACAAAAATAAATTAATGATCTAAATTATTTTCAAATCAAACAAAATAAAGAGGAGACTGTATATGCTGTTTAAATATGGAGCAGTATCTCAGAGCGGTTAAATAAAACAAAGCTAAAGGATCTGTGATTTTTTTCTGTTGAAGATCATTTGACAAAGTAGAAAATATTTTTTTTGTAGAATATATTTTTTGGTACCAAAAGAGTCAAAGGACTCAAACTATTTTGTGCCAAACCTAGCATCACTGCATGCATCCCTTGATATGCAAACCAGCAAGTATTTGCATGTGACCACATCCATTAAAGGGGTGGGAATCCTTCAATTTTAACCCCTATTATTAGAGGCCAGATGGCCAAGTGGACAAGATGGCAGTCTATTGTGTGAGGGACCAAGGATTGAATTCAGACAGGTTGAAAAATCCCCAGGAATTTTCTGACGAGATACGTCAGCCCCATCCCTCACCATCTGGACGACCCACTGTGTGTCTGGCTAGACCCATAAAATTGCTCTGCAATCAGAGGTCAAGCCCATCTTTGCTTACTAGGAGAAGAAATTCTGTTCTAATCAAAATAGAATATTTATTATTAGTACCACTGCTTTTACACATTTTGACATGAATAATAAAATCATTGGAAATAGGGTTATTTCTTAGGGGTTGTGAAGGTAATTTATTCATTAAGAATTCAGAATTCATTAAACTAAACTGTTTAATTTAGTTTAATGAATTCTGATAAAATTTTGGTTTGCTTTATTACATGAAAATTAACATTGTGACAATGATGTTTTGTCAGGGCAATGGCAAAATTCACTTTATCAACATTTGCTTTAAGGTAAGTCGACTGTAATTGAATCAAGAATTGCCAGAGCCATCAAATAAATGTTGAGTAAATAATAATTAAAAAAGATTAATGTTTAAGATTTAAATTGCTGCTTAAGACTGATAACATTAACTGATAATGATTACACATTATTATGCACTATTAGTCATATGTGAGATCAATAGTGCTAAAAAAATAGCTTAAAAGTGACTATTATCTGATGATAACTATAAGTGAAACTTTTCATTTTATTATTTAATTATAAATAGGGTTCTAAAGGCAAATATCAACATCTAAAACCTGATAGTTAAATATTAAACCAAACAATTGTTGGATGATATTGGGCTGTTTTACCATACTATTAATAATTAAATGCTAAATAATTTGGCATAGAGGTAGGTAGTTGTTAGGTGCTATCTCTTGTTAACTTTAATAATTAAAATTAAATTAATATTTTAATAATTAATTTAGAAGGTTCTGCAAGAAAATATAATTTAGATATAACTGTGTGTGGTTATGTCTAAATTAATAGTTCTGGAAGTGAAGATTGAATAAAGGTCTGGATAGCAAAACAAGTGTATGGTAAGCAGGATTTGCAGATTTTAGTCCCATTTCAGGCTGATTTTCTTCAAGAACCGTCTAAATTAATAATTAAAATTAAATTAATATTTTAAATTGAACAAAAAATGGCTTATAACATCTACTTCTAGTGTCAAATTACTTAGCATTTAATTATTAATAATAGTAGTAAAATAACATGACACTATCTAGCAGTTATTTGGCTTTAAGTGTTCCATATTTTTAGGAAATGCTAATTCTGATGATGATAAACAACTTATAACAGTATCCATGATTTTAATAACATATTCTAATGCATTTTATATAGTCATTCAATATACAGGATGGTCCATAAAATCTCTTACTATTTTTTGGCCAAGATTTTTATATTTTTGGACTCTGGATCTTGGAATTTCAAGAAATGCAAAAAAATTTGAGGGCTTTTTCTGTATGTATGGATGTTTGTATGGGGAAGACACAATTTTGTTCAGTCTTTTTTTGAAGTTTAATAACTCCTGTGCTTTTTGTTGAAAATTTCTGAAATTTTGCAGGGAGGTTTGTGTATATTATAGGAATTGATGCTATTAAATTTTGTTTGGTAAAGGTCGAAGGATGAGAAGATAGAGGGAATTGTGTGTCATATCTCGAGTAGGGTCAGACTTAATGATGATTTTACTCATTATTTGCATTTACAACTTTTTATAAAACTCATCCCTATCCTCAAAATTAAGCCTTTTGTCATTTTATAATAAAAAAATATAAAAACTTATTTTTTGTAAAATATCATAACAGATGATGCCACATGTAGTGTTAAATGTTGCTGGAAAGTTAAGTACAGAAAATGGAAATTTTGTAACTGTATATGTAAAATAATGTCACATAAATGACTTTCATTTTCTGTTTTACAATCTCTTTCTATAAATGTATCTTATTTCCTGCTGCCTAAGAGATGTGCTGAAACAGTGGGAAAAAGTTTTTTTTTTATAAGGGGGCCTTTAAAAGCAGCTGATTTGTAAGCCGGTGGATTGTGAGATGCCAGTGGAATATAAAATTGATTGTGAAATGCTTTTCAATAAACATCAGTACTTGGAATGCATCATTGAAAGTGTCTTCTTAACTTTCAATGTTTTGCAGTAGTCCTCATCACTTTTGAACATGTTTATGGTGTATTACTTTTCTAAATTTCAGAAAATGATCAGCATCACTTTTGTGTTGCTTTGACTTTCTTTGAATAGATGAATATATAGACTTTCTTTGTAAAAATTGTAAATTTTGAGATCATATTTGTGCTTCAACATTTTAATTTCATTTACTAAATTCTCTTAAAAATTTTTATTCTTCATATTTTAGCAAATTTGAAAACACGTTTTTTTTTCTATTGTATAGCAGAAGCAATGGAAAAACTTTACAAACACACCTTGCACATTCAATCTATTAAAAATATTTAATACACATCAGAAAATATTCCCATTTCAATCAGCAATTTCTCTATAGATATGCTGAAGCATATCTATAGAGAAATTGCTATTTTCCTATAAAAATAAAACATAATTTCAGTGTTAGTATTTTTGATACCCTTTAACAAGTAAAATCTATTTTTTAATGGGTGTTTTTGTTTTTAAAATCATTAAAAATTTATGGCTAATGGAATTTTTATAAAGTTTTTTAATTAGTTGATTTATTTTTTCAGTTTTTTGGCAAAATTTAATGCTTTTGTGTTACTTATTAATGATCTTATGTATTATAAATGTGATGAAACAAGAACATTAAACTGCTTTTTCATAATTTTAAGTTTACATTAATGTTAATGAGTTAAAATTGAGCAAAGTAAATAGTTATTATGGTTCAAATAAGAAATGTCTTATGTTATGAATTCTAGAAGAATATATTGTTATCAAATGAAAACATTATTTGATTAAAATACTAATCTTAATGCCTGATGTTGCCTGGAAAATGTAATGAGAAAAAGTTTTATAACTTGATAACAGTTTATAACATATTGTAATATATATAATTATAATAATACATACACACACACTCACACTTTCTCTCTCTATACTTTAGTCATTAATATAATTATTAATTCAAATATTATTATTTATATGTATATATATTATAATTCATTATTTAATTAATTTAAATCTAATAATTTTTTTAAACTAATTGCCCAAAATAGTGCTTTTACAAAAAAAAGAAAGAAATCAGACATTCAGTAAGTTTGATAAATTCATTTATAAAACTAATTTAATCATATATAGTTTAACATTTTTGTGCTTAATTTTTAAAAAATAAATTGAACTAATTAAATTAATAGTAATCAATAGGAACTATTCTTATTTCTTTAATGTTCTAGGAAATGGTAACAATTTCCATTTTCTAGAGTCGGTCCATTCCAATTCAAAAACATATATTAGATTTATCATAATTTTATTAATACTAGTAGAAATGTTATTTTATACAATCAACCAAATTCTGGCTGAAAAATAAAATATTGAAATTTAGTGACATATTAAATTTAAATTTTAATGCTTTATCTGTAAGTATTACTTAGTTATAAAGAATCTAAAATATTAATTTGTTTATATTGATTATAAGAAAGTGAGTATCATTTGTTTTCTTTTATAACATACCGTATTTACTTGTCTATAAGATGATCTTGCATATAAGGACAAGGTGTGACTTTAAAGATCAAAATAAAAAAATCAGATTTATTAATATAACTCTAATTTTATTTCATTTAATCAAATAAAATATCAAATGAATGTAAATGAACACATTGTCCTGCAAAAATTACTGGCATTTTAAACTTTAAGGAAAAATCTTGTAAAATTGATAACATAATTTGTTCATGTAAAGCTGGACAATTGGGAACCTTTTTTGCCAATCTTTAACAGTTGAATTCACTCTCTGTTGATTACATTTATGAGTTTCTCTGATTATTAATTTTCGAAAATCATCTGTTTTCACATGGGAATGGATTAAAACTTATATCGGGCTCGCTCCTGTGTGATTTTGGAATTTCAATATGGAATTCAATTCAAAAGCTTTGCTTTTCCTATTGCTATTAATCTTTACTCCTGACAACACACAAGAATGATTCAAATGATCCAGATAAAATACTTTTGTTTTTAAACACAAGAAGGTGTGCATCCAGTAAAAAATGTGAATACATGGTTCACAAAAATTATATGCAAAAATGCAAAGAATCCTTTGCTTGCACATATAGGATGACCTAGGTTTTTGAAGCAGTGAAAAATGAATAAAAACCTTGTCTTATATGCGAGTAAATATGTCATTTGTATACATTGATTTTGACATCTGCAGTGCAATCAAGAATTAACCTGTTTGTTCTAACAGAGACAAGTTAATGATACAATTTTTTGTAATTGTTTATTATTTTATTAATATTAAAGATTTCTAGATTATATCAATTTAAATATGAAAATAAACATTAATAATATATTAAAAATGTAGATATATTTTCATTTTATAATAATTTAATTATTCTTATTTTAGCCCAACAAATAACTTTATCTCCAGCAAATCTGCAGCAAACATCAATTCAGTATGCACCTGGAGATATCAATCTTGTAAGTCTTATTCATTTTCTGTGGATCATTATTTACTTTCTTTTACTTTTTTTGCCTTTGGAATGATTTCAAATTTTGATGTTTTATTATTCATTAACATTTGCATTTATTTGGTATTTTACTTCTCTGTTGTATTTTAAATATAAAAACACAAACACACACACACACACACACACACAGCAAAAGAATTCCACTGCCACAGCAGTTGTATTCTTATGATGCAGATTGGAAATAATTATAATCATTAATTAGATTAAATATATCATGAAACTCATTAAAAATTAAAACATAAGATTCATTTAATAGCACTGATAAAAAGGATCATTAACTTTGCATTGATTGTACATTTTGCAAAAACATTTTAAAAGTAGGTATGATTAAAAATGAAAACTACAATTGTAAATATAAAACTAATATTTATATGTTTTATATTTACAATTGTGTGTATAAAAAGAATGTATGTAAAAAAATAAAATTCACTAACCTGGAAATAAATAGTAGATAAATTAATAAACAATTATAAGTAGTGGAGCTAATCCAGGAATTTCAATTAGACACTTTAGGTAAATTCTAACAGTTATCTAAGATGAAACATGCTTATAATGGATAGATAGGCATATTACAGTATAGGACTCAGGCTGGAGTAGGAATGGTATAATAAAATACAAAATTGAGGTAAAGTGGATGTAGTTCAATAGTGCTAAAGGTTTTCAAACAAACATATTTTCATAAAAAAGATGTTGGATGTTTAAAATAGAAGAAACCACAATATTTCATGGAAATAAATATTAATAGTAAATGAATTAATAAAGAACTGAATAGCTGAGCCAATTGAGGAATGTCAATTCATAATTATTCACTGAATTATTTCAATTCATATTATTATTGTAATCTTAAATTATTGTGTTTATATTTTTTACACACAAAAAAAAATTCAAATTTTGTAACTTTATAATTTGCATATTTCTAATTGTAACTAATTTGAATAAGATTAAAAATTAAAACTAACTTTTGAATATTAAATCAATAATATCTGTTAGAATTTAAGAAATTTTGATATAGAGTAAAATATGAGTATTATTGTTATGAATGAATAAATTATGTTTCTAAATACTATTTATCGTAAGTACTGAATATGAATAGGTTATTACTTACAAAAAGTTTTTAAATCTTAAATACTATAATTTTAAAATATAAATTACAGTATTTTGTTTTAGTTTTATTTTGGAATTTCAGATAATTAACAACTTTCGTATTTGTTAAAATAGGGAGGACAAAAAACTTTGACTCTTGCTATGCCACAAAAGGTAACAATTGCTATTCCTGGTCAAATGAATCATGGACCAATTCAAACTGTTATGGTATGTATTTAAATAGTATTCAAAAAATTATGTACATGTAAATATACATATGAAATATACATATGTACAAAAAATTAACACAAAAATATGCATAAAGGCACACATGTATAACAAATTTGTTTTTATCTATTAAATTTTAGTATATGTTTAGTAATGTGATTTATAAGTGTTTTTTAAAAATTATTTAAGTTATTTGTTATTCCTGAACTTTGTAAAATTAATTTGTGTTTTAATAAAACCATAATGACTAAAATTCAAAAGAATTGTGATTTTGTATAATATAAACTTTTAAAATAAAATTACATTTAATACAAATGTAGAAGAGTGTATGGTAAGTTCAAAATTCATTTCAAACTGTAAGTGTTTTAATATTGAAATGTATTTTAACAATGAAATTTTCTGAAATATGTTTATTATTAATGGGTGTCTTGAAAAAATCCACACAAAATACCTCATGCTCTAACACAGTGGCTCTCAACCTTTTTTTTCCCACGGACCCCTTTTCCTCTTAATTTTGTTTTTTTGTGAACCCCCATAGACATTGCACAGAAAGAAAAAAATCTTCAATTTTTCACTAATAAAAAAAGAAAGGAAAATATTCAGAAATGTCACTGTCAGGTGACATGATGCTGATGATATAAGATTCTACTGACAAACCCTGGCTTTATAATGTCTCTTTGACCTTTGTCAGTGAGATATATATGTCTTATATGTATTCAATATTTTAAATAATTTATATTTTAACCCTTATGGAAGAAATGAGTAACAAAGAAATTGACAATATACTACATATATACTGTAGAAATTTAATTCTCAGTAATTGTTCTGAAGTAGAATTACCCTATAGACCACTAAAATATCACTGTGAACCCCAATTCAGTATTTTTTCTTTGGACTCCCAGTAATGTTACATGGACTCTGGATGAGAACCACTGTGCTAACTAATAGCCAGTACTTTTTAATTATGCTGTATATGCTATAATTTGAAAGTGTGTGGAATGCTGTATAACATTCTAGAATCTTTTTATGCATTTGATATTTTTCTTCTTTCAAAATGGTAGTAAAGAAGCTGCTTTAAACCTAAGAATGTACAACTTTTACACATTAAATGAAACATTATGAAAAAGTTTACAGTAAACCATTTTTGCAAAGAAGGCATTTCAAAATGAACTATATATTGCATTCTCCAACATTTTGAGAATGAATTACCACCATAGAGAAGAGAGGGATCTGGCAGAAAAGTGAAAATTTGAATGAAATGCAAGTTAGAATGATTGAAAACAGCAGCAAATTTTGTATTTGGTCTGTACCTCTGAAACTGAAAACTTCATGTAATTGGTTCTGATAGGCTTTGAAAATAAAAACATAATAAATATCAAAAGAAGCAGGTAATCCAGGACAGAAGAAATATGTAAGATTATTGGCAAAGAAAGTACGAAAAATTATTTTGAAATTTCTGTGAGAAGTTCATTTTGGATGATGATTTTTATTTTGCTATTTCATACTAGATGATCAATGGTATTAGTAGATTTTACACCAGTGATATCTCTCTCCTTTGTACCTGCTGACATAAAGTTTTTCAAGAAAAAGAAATTTGAGGGCAAAGTTTTGGTTTGGATTTTGGTGGGATTTGACAGAACTATTATCAAGCAGAATGTCTTGTGGTTGATCAAGGAAGTTCTGACCATGCCAAAACCATACTGGATTACCTGTAATAAGAAAATATTACCACTTAATCCGACTCAGCCTCTTATGCAAAATATTAGATACATCCAACACACCTTATTGCTGAGAAACATATATTTATTACATAAAACTAACGTTTTCGGCTAAATTTATGGGAAAATATTACCTTTGTCAAAAAGGACAGTCCTACAAATGTACCAGTAATTAGGCCAATTAAGGACTTTTGGGCAATTCTCAAGGAAAGCTGTTTATGAAAGGAGTGAAAGGAAAAACACAAGTCAGTTGATCAATCATATAAAGTACTGTCTGAAAAATGTGAACCAGTCTTATATGGAAACTTTTACTGCACACCCAATTCAAATTAACTGTATTTGAAGATGGGGCCTTATAGAATCACAAAAATAAAATATAATGTACAGCTTTTCATTACTTTTCAAATGATTGTTTAGTTTATAGTTTCTTTCAAGGTAAAAACTGTTACTTGAACTTGTGCAGATTTTTCCAGACAGCCATTAATCTGTAAAATTAATTTAATTAATCATTTGTTTCAGATCATGAATAATTTGAATTTCTGTCTATAATTCTATTTATTAAGTGAAGAAGTTGTCTGAATATTTGTTATGAAGAAATAATTTAACTGCAGTAATTAAGATCCTTAATTTGTAAAAGAAACCCCTATTCTGTTTTAACTTGACAATGATAATTTAATCAAATGACAATTAATATTGGATATCTTATTAAGAGACTACTGTTTAATCTAAATTGTTGAATCTACAAACTTGCATACTATTATGAATTTCTGAAAAGAGTTGGAAATAAGTACAGGTAGCCCTCGGTTTACGCCACAGTTCCATTCCTACAAAAGCTGGCGCAAATCAATTCGGCGTAAAACAAACCCATATTTACAGTGAGGTGTAGGGTTAGGTTCTACATAAGTGAAAAATAAGCAAATAATTTTGTTTATTAATACAATATAATATAAAATATTTACTCACGTATAAGATNAAAATAAAGTGAAATGTTGTTATTAAAAATTTTAATTTCGGATCTCTTACATTTTTTGGAAAAAGGTATCCATCTTTAATTGTTTACATTTTTGTTTTCTTTCATTGAGAATTTCGGAATATGGTCGAATGGATATGATGATGCTTCTTTTTACATTTACACTTCACTCCCAATTATTGTCTAACTCACAAAGTTCATCTGTCGAACTTTTCATAGTTGAAAGGATACGTTAACTCAACATAGAGCTACAGGCGAGCAGAGACACTGATTGGTCGACCACCAGTTGCCGTAACGCATGTATAAGGTCAATTTGAGTGGGAAAATTCAAGGTGGCTAAGGAGAGATAGATATTGTCTGGCTAATAAAAAAAGTATCGTCTGGCCAACGAGAAGTAGATTTGTCTCACTAACGTTAGTTTGTGATCGCCGGAAGTAGTACTGCGTCGTAAGGTGTTTTCCTGAACAAACTAATATGGGATACATTCATTGGTGCTATGGATTCTGATGCCATTTATTGCACTATTAAGTTTGATAACTTGACTCGAAGTAACCTAAATGTTTAGTGTTTTAATATTAATTTAATGCAAATATATGCATACCCAATAATATTAAAAAGAAAAACTAAATATATTCAATAAAAATCTTTGTTTTAACGAATGTACTGTACAATGTCGCGGCTCGGTAAATACATCAACACTGAAATGAAAATCAGTCTGGCATAGGGAAAACGGGGAATTACACCGCGAAATTGCGAATTGCATAGTGACGTTATTGTGAATTGGCATAAATTGAGCTGGCGTAAACCGAGGGCTACCTGTAAATGAAAATTGACATTAAATGATTTAAACATTAATTTTCATTAATATTTAACCCTTTCTTTACCACCGGCGTAAAAATACGCCAGAGCGTACACCGTAATTTTTAATGCTAATGTTTAATTAAACATAAAAAATACTTTAAACTGAAAAAAAACGAAAAAAATGCGTTAATTTTGAAGAAAAAGCTTCAAACTTTATTTTCCTTTGTCTCGTCTTTCTGTGAAATATAACACCGATGAGTTATTGTTTACACAGCTGGGTGACCTTGAACACAGCTGGAGTCGGATTTCCCGGGGCATTCTCATAAACGTCTCGGGAGGACAAGGGTTTAAAGTAGGGTGAAGGTGAATTAATCGTATATTTTTAAATGTTTTTAAAAAATTGAAATTTTAATTGCGATTTCCGACCCCCCTTAATTAATTAAATTAATATATAATAAAATATATTAATTAAAAAAATTAAAAAACTATCGGAGGTCGTTTTTGACATCAAAAAGCAGCTTTTAATAACTTTACCGAAAAAAAATCCGTGCGCTACAACTTAGGAACCATGAAATAAATTTGATAAAAAACTCCCATTGAAAAACAATTGAGCCTTAACAGAGGCTCATTAAAATCGCGATAAAATTTTTTCGTGCGGACAAAAAATTCTGAAAAAATTTGGGGACCTAGAAAACATTTTAAAAATTCAAAAAAAAAAAAAAATTTTGGGAAAGGGCTGAAAGTACCGAGTTTTATGAAACTCTATGGAACTTGCCCGAGGTTTTTCGGGATGTTGATTTTAAAGGGTTAAATAATTTGATTTTGCATTACTTCAGATCTAATTAATCTTTTATATAAAATTTAAGAAAAATTTGAAAAATTTTTATTTTCTTATAAAATAATTATTAATAATAATTTATAATTCATAATTTTTTGAAAAATCATGACTTCCTTATTTAGAATTAAAATACATATTTCTGCACAATGCTGTTAATTATTAATACTTCATACTTGTTATCTCTTCATAAAAATTCAAATTTTTAAAAATAATTTGATGTACAGATATTGCGAAATCAGAGGTCTATCAGAGGCCAAATCAGTTATATTCTAACAGTTTTATATTATTAAAATTTTAAAATCAGATAAATAGTAATATCAAAGATACAACTTTTAACCTATTCGATGTTGAAATTTTTATTTGTTGCCTGTGATGCCATGTTGAATTTTCATCAATGTTAAGCCTAAAATTTTTTTTTTTTAAATAATAATCGTGTTTACTGTATCGTAAAAAATTATTTTTTTATGTTTCACAAACAAAATATATATATATTGAATAATATAAATACGAAAAAAATTTTATTTTAAAAGTTTGTTTTAATATAAAAATTGTGACGCGAAGCAACATCTAGTATCAAAGACGTTCCAATGTAAACACGGAAATATTCGGGATCGCCCACACAGGTCAATGGGGTCAACCTGAAAATTTTCGGGATCAACATAGGACAGGTTAACATTGTGCCAAACTTTATTTTGTATAGTTAACCACTCAGCAGTGAGCAACGACTATAGTCAAGGGCAGTAGTGACTATAGTCATCAAATTCTTTTGGGCAGTATCACCAAAAACTAGCGTAAAACTACCGCGCAAAAAAAATTCACATAAAACATGAATTATGTAACAATAAATAAAGACTTTCCTATACTAGACATAACTATTTACAAAATCTTTTTCCAAAATAGTACTGAGAAAAACATGTGGAAAAATACTTTAAAAATTTCTCATATTTATTCTCCACTACTTGGGATAGAACCATACCTGACTAGTCCACTGTTGACAGGTTAATATTTCATTTATCCATACCACAAAGATGGTATTTATTGATATTTTACTTATATTATCGTTTTCAGGAAATTATTAATATAAATATATTTATACAGTTTTTAGCTAAATTAATAATCTAAATATATTTTAACCCATCACTAATGTGTGTTCTAGATGCTTGATTTGTATGTTTTCATTATTACATATAATTTTGGATTATTTTTATAATTGAAATGTATTTCTAGGATACTATTTGAATATGATTGTGTTATATAATATTAAATTAATTTTAATACTGTAATTAATAGTCTGTACCTGGATCTGCTGCAACACTGTCTTTACCTTCAGAAATTGTTACAACCAGCCTATTTCCACAAGCAGCCCTTAATCAAGGAAATATTTTGAATCCTTCACATCAATTAAATGCTGGTAAATTTAATTTTTAGCATGTAATATAAATAAAATAAATACTTTAATTTCATTAATACTAATTTATGTAATAGTATTAACACTAACTAATTTTTTCATGTTTCATATTAGAGCAGACATGACAGTTTTTCTAATGTGAGTTGTAGGTAAATTTTAGATAAATATTAGATATTGTATACTGATTATATTTTGAGATACTGTGAAGTGTTGATACTAGACACTGGACTTTTCACATACACTTCATTTTCTGATATACCTTAGAGTACAGTGGAACCTCGCTTAACGAGCATAATTCGCTCCAGAATCTTACTCATAATTCAAAACACTCGTTAGGCGAAACAATTTTTTCCATTTAAATTAATGTAATGTAAAATATGATAATGTGTTCCATGCCAAAAAAAAAATACCCAAATATTTTATGTATAATAATTATTAAAAAAAAATTATACAATATACATTAAGAGCGTGAATCATCATTTTTTCTTTTAGCATGAAATGAATCAACCTGGAATGTGAATTTGATTTGCAGAAAACAAAAAAAATCACAGATGTCTGATAAACATGCCAAATGATATGCCAAATTCTTGGGCTATGTAAAGGCTATAATTAAATATTAGAAAATTAATTAATTTGACTAGATGTAGGCAGTTATGCTGCCATCTGTTTTAAATTTATTGACCAATTCCAAATTAAATTTTAGAAATGTCCTAAATTAAAAATTAATTATTTATAATTATTAAATTGTCACTTGTTATGTGAAATGTCGCTTGCTAAGCAAATAATTTTTTTTACAATTTGTTTTGTTTGTTATGCGAGGTGCAAGGTTAAGCAAGGTTCTACTGTATAGGCCATTTTTGTTTCATTTGCCAATATGCATTTTAGGCTAATGTCCCTCATCTGTTGGCTGATATAAGTTTTCTACAATGGTTGTAAATGTATTGTTGACATACATAAAACTGAACACCACTGTGTATTGTAAATAAAACAGTTAAAATTTCCTAAAACTTGCAATTTTTTAGAATGTTTTTCCAGTGTTAGTCTTCTGTAGTTTCTTTATATATCCAGTATTTTTTCATAGTCTTTAGTTTGATGCAATTGTATATTGATTTCTAGTAAATTTCAAGTAAGCAATCAATCTTTCATGAAGTCATGAGAAAGCATTTGATTGCAAATGAAGGTTAAAATAAATATGAACATATTTTATATGCATTTTTCAAATCATATAAAATATGTTCATGTTTATTTAGCAAAAGATAGTGTTTTCAGATAAAATTGATTGCTATATGTTCTTTAAAAATTAAATTTTTGGATAGCATATAAACTTTCATCAAATTTAAATAACTAATTTTTTGTTTTTAAAAATGGGAAAGAATAAATACAAAATGGAGATTGGCAATNTCTTTTAATTTGTTGATAAATAAATTTAATTATAAGTTTAACTGTTTGTTTTTGTAAAGTGTCATTTTAATAATTATAATAGAAATTATTGAGAATTTTGATTCATTTGTTCCAAAAATATTCATTTGAAATTCAATAAAATATATTATGATCTAAATAAGGTCACACTTACTTGAGTGAGTTTTAATTAATTTCACATCTAAAATTATTTGTTTCATTAAGTTTATCACTTGTTGACCTGAATTTATGTGTATTTTTCATTTGCTTATATTGATATTAACATAAAATATGGCAGTGTAGCTGAATTAGATATTAGAAGGGTGATGCAATAAGATGTATCTTATAAATATAAAGGCACAACTTGTTATGCAAATAAAATAAAAATAAAATAATTATTATATAACAAAACTAGTTTAATTTTGAGGTAGTTACAAATAAACATACTAAAAAATTGTGTAATTATATTGTTTAACAACTCAACAATAAATTAATTTAAATCAAAATCACGTTTCTTGCTGTCCAAAAAATATAAAGGCAGGTTCAGTTTTCTAACAATAGAGGTCATACTGTACTACAGTATAACTACCACATATTTCAAATGTTTATTTCTGTTATATATTGATGTAGATGAATTGTTTTTCATCATGGGACATGCAAAACTCTTAACAGATGTTTAAAAAGGCAAAAGGAAAATTACTCAGCAAAAGCAATTGCAAAGAAAATTAATTGTTCTCCAACTGTAATTTACAATTTCATAAAGCTTGGAGACAAATACAGACAAAAGAAATCAACAGGTTGACATCTAAATCTTACAAATAGAGAAAAATGTAGTATTTTGAGAGAAATCAAAAGCAACCAAACATCTTTATGAAAACTAGCATTAAAACCAGAGCTTAATGTATCAAAATCTACAATTGGAAGAATTGTTAGTATATGTCAGCATCTCATCTATAAGAAGAAAAAGCCTGCACCATCACTAACCTTCTAAGAGCAAAAGCAATTGCAGTGGACATTGGAGAAAATGGGATGGACAGACACATGGAAGCACATCATCTGGAGTGATGAGAAGAAGTTTAATTTTGAGGGACCAGATGGTTGGGCTTGTTATTAGTATAATTTGAGGGGTGAGGAAGAAATATTTTCAAAATGGCAGCAAGGGGTGACAATCTCAGTGATGGTATGGGGTGGGTTTAATTGGTTTGGCAAGACAAATACAGTAGAGTGTCGTTTATCCAAAAGCTGGTCAACCAAAACGTCAGTTAACCGAAAGCATTCCAGTCGGCAAATTAAAATTTTCGCTAGTGCTGTGACGCTGCAACCTTTGGCTACGTCTTGGGCTACTCCAATATTTTTTTTGTTGGTGTGTGTGTTTTAGCTGGCAGCACTGGTACTTTTGTGTAGTCTTTTTCTGAGGACTTTGTGCTATGCTGAATTGAACATTTTTGATACTAGATTAACTTCTAAAGTATTTTTTTTTTTTTTTTTTGTTTTTATATTTTTCAATATATTTATTTTGTTTGTACAAAATAAAGAAATAATTTTTAACGATACAATAGCCACGATTATTATTATAAAAATTTTCATTAAGCTTAACATCGACGAAAATTCAACACGAAGTGACACACAATGGAGAAAAATTTCAACATGGGATAGGTTAATATATTTTTTCATACATAACCAGCTATCTGAAAAATAAGTTATCCGAACAATCCCAGTTCCCAATTGATTCGGATAAATTTTGCTCTACTGTATTACATTCCTCAGTGGCCGAATGAATGCAAATCATTATCAAGACATGCTAGAAAGTTATCTTTTGCCTTGGGCTGATTTAATTGCCAGAAATCGTTGGTTTTTCCAACAAGATCCACACAGCTAAGTCAACTTGTTAGTGGTTTTAAGTAATGTAGTCCCAGTTATTGATTGGCCAGCTCATTTTCCAGATTTGAATCCAATGGAAAACCTCCGGGGAATCTTAGCTAGAGCTGTATATGCTAATGGGTGCCAATATAACAGTGTAGATGAGTTAAAACATGCAATTAATATTTATTGGGAAAAAATAACTACAATAGTCCTTTAAAATCTTACACAATCAATGTCATACTGTATCTACAAGGTTATAATGAAAAAGGGGAAGTGTATTGGTTATTAGTTGATTATTATTAAAGATTTATAACAATACTTTCTACTGTTCTAGTTATTTTGTATTATGTCTTTATATTTTTGAGACAGTGAGAAATGTGATTTTGATTTAAATTAATTTATTGCTAACTTGTTAAACAATATAATTAACGATTTTTTAGTACATTTATTTATAAGTTGTAACTACCTCAAAATAGTTTTGTTATATAAAAATTAGTTTAGCTTTTATTTGCATAACAAGTTGAGCCTTTATATTTATGGGATGCACCTTAATTGTAATAAATAATTGGAGTCATCTTTTCCCAGTTATTCTTGAGGTGGGCAATCAGTTTTGCTTCTGGAACTGGAACTGTTGGAACTGATCTGAGTGCAGAACTGTTAAGCTAGATGGTTCTGTCAGAACACTTGGACTAGATTGTTCCTTGGAATCATTATGTAACGTTGGAATAGCTTAGTCTGGACTAGATGGTCTCTCATCAGTTTTATGTAGGATATGAAATGTTTGTCTCTATTCTTTGTTTTTTGTTGATCTGTTCCAAATTATTCTTGCTTAACTTGGAATCTAGGAAAATATAGACTATAGTGAAATCTGGACATCTTACCCCTCCCCTGGTTTCATCCTCCCTAAACCCTTTGTCTGATCCATACCAAATTTTTCATATTTATTTATTTTCTGGGACTCATAGGAAAATATAGACTTTCATAAAATCTGGATACCCTACTCTTCCCCTGGTTTGATCTTTCAACATTTTTCAATAACATAACAATTTTAAGCTAAAATAACCAAATTTGTTATATGATTTTCATTTTAATGTTTAGCCATTTTCCTGTTTGGGCAGGCAATGCCAGACATATCTGTTGGTTACTAATAAAACAAATAATTAAGAAAATATTAAACTTATTTTAAAATATAAATTTTAAAATAACTTTGTAAATTTAAAATACTCTAAACTAATTTGATTATTCTAAAAACTGTGGAACTTTTTCATTAAGTTCAAATCCAGATAAAGAATTCACTGTTCTGTGGAAAATCATATTTATAAAAGTACAAAATGAAGAATGTGTTAGTAGTTTCAACTGGAACTGTCTCAACACACTGTGTGGAACTGTTCTTCATAGTTCTGAGTTGGGAACAGTTTCTTTGGAATGATTCCGATCAGAACTACCCATCTCTATTATTACACCTGTCTTTTCATTAAAAATAAATACTTCTCAAATCATGATAGAGTTAGCTCTGTGTTGTCTATAGAGCCTAACTTTTTTTGCAGCATGCTAATAACAGCTTATTCATCATGTGTTCAAATTTTATATTTTGTGTCTGAGAATACAATTTTTATTCAATTCAGTTCTTACGATAATTTAATTAATTGGCTTTATATCTTTAGGCAATTTTGTAATTTTATTGAAGTTGTATTCTGATTGACTTGAAATGCAAAAAGTTTGTTCAATATAAACTTCTCTAAATAGTAACATTGTAAATAGTAAAAAGAACTTGTTACTTTAATATCTTATGGATATTTGTTTATTAGTGAACAATTTGAACACTTCATTTCTTGAGGACAAAACCTTAGACTTTCCTATAATTTTCATTGGTCTCA